ACAGAGCAAGACTCTTTCTCAAGAAAAAAAATATTTCTGGAAGAGTTAAAGACTCTAAAGAAGAATGATCTTTTGAGTTGAGGCTTAAGGGCAGTGTTTTGGAGGCATGCCTATGAAGCGTGGGTGGCTCAGGAAGGTGGAATAGCCCACACAAAAGCACAGAAGCAGAGTGCATAGTCACATGACACAGGATGTACACATGTGCTAATATCGCCAAGTATGGGGTGGAATGAAGCAAAAGGAGATTATGCAAGTGGGTATGGGCTGAAAAAGCATCTTTGTATACTATGCAGAGGAGCTTAGGTGGTATGTTGTGATGAAACATGTTGATTAGGCAAGAAATGTTTGGACTTGTACGTTAGAACCATCCGCTGTAACAAAGAGGAGAATAGAGGGGAAGAAGGGCATGACCAAGCAGAGACTGGAAAGGAAGCTATTGCAGTAGTTTGTGACAGATAAGCCAGGAGCATTGAGGATAGAAAGAAGGAGAAAAAACAAAAAGTAACCTGGAGGTAAACTAGACAGATCTCAGTGTTTCATAGAACATGAGGCATGAAATGGAGGAAGACAGGGACCTCATCTGTCTTGTTAATAACTGCTTTCCCAGCACCTACAAGAAGGCCTCTTCTAGGTGCCCAACCAATATTTGTCCAAATGAATGAAAGGGAGAAATCAAGACGACTCATGGGTTTCTGGCTGAAGAAGAATGTTTACCAGTTACCAGCAGAAGGGATACAGGAGGGGAAGTCATGTATTCGTCTGTGGACTACTGTGGGATATATAGGGTGGGTTCTAGAAGAGCCCATGTATAAGATGCACATGACAAGAGAGTGGAGGGCAGGAAAGGAAGAGAAGGTAATGAAGGAAATGCCAAATATGACTGCAGAAGCATAGGAAGAGGATTAGGTTAGGTACAAATCGTAAGTCAAAGGGACATTTTCAGGATGAAGCGTTTGACAGGATATTTCCAGAGAGTTCAATGAGAATGAAGTTTTGCACAATGAGTGTTCAGCTTTGAGTGACTCAGAGAAGACTATCATCTGTGTTGTCCCCTTGCCTTTTATGTGGACATATCAGAAATGAGACGTTATCTTACTCAAGTTATTTTAGAAACTCTGTGACTTGGTGCATCTCTTCACCTGAGGAAGATAAAGGCAGCATACGGCATAGTGATTTTTGTAGTAACAACCAATATGTAGGTCAGAGATCAGTATTACTAAGCAATAACATCTAAATGTACATATACCACTATTAAAAACATTGACCTGGGTAATTTCTTCTATAGAATACATAATTGTAAATTGTGTGGTAATAATCATGATATGTTTTAAAAGATGTGTTTTTTAATTCATAGCTTTATGCTATATAAATTGATGAATCATCCCTATATGTGATATTATGGCCAATAATTATATACCTTAGTCCATACTTGCATGCAGTCTAATTTAGCTGGCTCCCGAAGGTTCTGAGTAGTTGCCTTCAAATATTACTCACATAAGGGGGACAACGGATGGGGAAGACTAAGACAAATACCTAATGCATGCGGGGCTTAAAAACTAGATGACAGGTTGATAGGTACAGCAAACTACCATGGCATATGCATACCTGTGTAACAAACCTGCACATTCTGCACATGCATCCCAGAACTTAAAGTAAAATAAAAAAAAGTTGCATAAAAACACCTAAGATTCTTGATAAAGTTCTATTTTTTGATTCAAGAAGGCCTGGGAACTAGAGTTTTAACAAGCACATTCATGTGATTTTAATATATTTGTGAAGAGCTCTTATTTGGAGAAACTCCATCTTAAACTATTGCACAATATATACATGTATTGAAACATGGCATTATACCCCATAAATATGTACAATTATTGTGTTCATTTAAAGAAAAAGCTCTTCAGCGCTATTTGTATTTTTTTTAGCTGGTGTTCTTGCTCCCTCATGTGGTGAAATGCAGAATCGTATATTTTAGAGCTCTCGTTTTCAGTTTCAGAAAATGAACTTAACGGTTTATCAATCTTTATCTAGCCTTTATTTAACCATGCTATAAACCTATAAATGCAAGTGTAGAATTAGCATTAATTCCTTTGCCTACGCAGCGGAATACTAGAGAAGACTAGAAAACGTCACATGTAAGATTCCACAATTTAGAAATGTGGTGGCTAAAACGTTGCTTTATATTTTTTATGTGTGTGTTAAAGATTTTGAAGGAGTATTTGGTAGATGAGTACTAACGGGTTTTTGGTGGCAGTGTTTTGGTATCATGGTCCAGGTGTTTATCTTTGGCTTGGGTTCTCCCTATTTGACTTTTAGGATTTAGAATATCTGTTTTAAATCAAGACAGACCTAGGGTCTGCAATACTCATTTGATGTTTTCATTTGCCAGGTTTCCCTTTTTTCAAGTGAGAAGGATTTAATTGAAAAATATATGAGAGGTAGCATGCAGAGTAAAGGGTTAGAAGCAGGAATTCTTTATTTCCCTGCATGGCCTATAGTGGGAATTCACAGATATTTATTAAAACTGTTGGAGAGAGGCTTTGTGAGTGATTCAGCGATAACTCACCATTTCTATAAATGAGAAGAGAAATTTAGAACTTTGCAGCCAGCTGAAGCCTGTAACAAAGGCTCCACATCCTGATGTAGAACAGGCTGTCCATGCTCAGATGAAGTGTAATCGCTGGAAGAGCTGGGAGGAGGGGAACCACAGGGGAAATACTAATAGAGGAAATAACATTTGAACTGAGAATCCCTAAGAATGAACACCCTTTAGGAATCTTTGTGAAGCTGTTACTGACTTATATCTCCTGCAATTATTTGTTCTTATTGTGGTTATTGTATTCATTCATTAAATACTGACGTGGTCAGGGACTGGGCTAAGTACAGGTGTACAAAGTCGAATAGGGCTGACTTGGTCTCTTTCTGTATGAAGCTCCCATTCTATTAGTGGAGACAGACAAGAAACAACTATATTAAAAATAAATTAAAAAGTTTCTAAATTAAATTAATGGCAGTGAAAGAAGTAAATAAGAAGCTGAGGTACAGAGTAACTTGGATGGGGTGGGGCAAGACTTACTTTGGTGAAGGTGGCTATAGAAGGCCCTTCTGAGAAAATATACACTACTGTGTTTGTTGAATACAATGATATTTTAAGAGCCTCTCATGTATTGTTTGTTATTCCTCACAATGTTATAAGGAAATATACTGTTACTATACCCATTTGATAGGTTAGAAAATAGAGGTACAAAGACATTAAGTAACTTGACATAATTTGCACGTGGTGGAGACTGGATTTATGGCTACATTACCAGTCTCTAGAGCCTGTTACTTCGACCACCATGATAGCGATTTCCTGTCAAGGCCAAGGAAAAAGCATGCACGAAACCTTTGAGACAGGAACGCACTTAATGGTTAAGGCACTGGAAGAAGAGATGTAGGAGAAGAGCACAGAGATGGTGAGAGTGGCCTGGTTGTGTTCAGAGATACAGACTGGGATCTGATCTTGAAGGACCTTCGAGAATATGATAAGGAGGTTTGGATTGCATCCTAAGTGCAGTAAAAAGCCATAGATGGGTTTTAAACAAGGTTCAGACATGATCCAATAAACCTTTTAAGAGGCTAACTCTTATTACAATGTGGAGAATTAATTGCAGGCAGGAAATCAGTAGGGAGACAAGCCAGGAGGAGGTCATGAGTTCAGCATAGAGATGGGGAAGAGATTCAAACAAATTTTGGATGTAGAATGAATTGCACTTTACATGATAGAGTACCCCACCCTAGCAGACATGGTGGGAGGCTGAAATATCACATTTCATTTAAGGTGTAGGCTCCTTTGAGACATGTGCTAATACAGAAAAGAGTGTTTGGTATTAAGAGACAGTCACTGATTGAATTGAAACAAACGGAGTATGTTATTTACCCTAGCACAGTAGAACCACTGACAGTTGAGAGAAAGCTCTTTTTCTATTACAATAGTTTGATCTTACAGATGAAAACACTGAACTCAGAGAAATTAGGTGATTAATTGCTTAACTGTTGATTGGAGACTTAAAAGTATGTAATTTCCCTTGACTTAATACATAAGTAACTACTTTCTACTCGAGAGAAAAATTTAAGTTATAAGTTGATTTCCCACCAATTCCAGGTCACTGGAGTTCTTTGTTACAGTCTGAGTACTTTCTTAATTTCTTGCTTCTTTAATTTAGGATGGTTTTCTTTGAGGGCAACAACCATTTCCATTTTATAACACACTAAAATATGAGAATTTTCCTTCTCTCTTCACATAGGGAAACAGAAAGAAACAGAGAAAAGAACTAATCAATAAACTTACTTCTCATGTGACTTGGTCACTTTCCCTGTCCTCATGTTTGCATGTAGGAATTTTTTCTCTCGATCATAAAAGGTATCTGATATAGTTAGGTAACCCAGACCTCATCTTTAACTGTAAACCCCATAATCCCCAGGGGCCAAGGGAGAGACCAGGTGGAGGTAATTAAATTGTGGGGGGCAGTTTTACTCATGCGTTCTCGTGATAGTGAGTGAGTTCTCAGAGATCTGATGGTTTTATAAGGGGCTATTCCCCACTTTGCTAGGCACGTCTTCCTGCCGCCTTGTGACGCAGGTGCTCTGCTTCCTCTTTACCTTCCACCAAGATTGTTAAGTTTCCTGAGGCCTTCCCAGCCACGCTGAACAGTGAGTCAATTAAACTTCTCTCCTTTATAAATTACCCAGTCTTGGCAGTTCTTTATAGTAGCATTAAAACTGACTAATACAGTAGCCCTGATGTAAAGTAGGGCTTAAGAAATGGTCAGGGAACTGCTAAATACTTTGGACCGCAAGGAACATGCTCCAGGCAGAAAACAGGAGGAGGCCCCGGGCATCTAGGTGAAAGTCTTTTTTTTTTTTTTTTTTTTAAATCCACAGCCAATTATAGTGTCCCTGAGGAATCTTTAGAGTATTTTTAAAGGAGCAAGACAAGTCCTAGAGGGTTCAATTAATCTTACCATGGCCTTTCTGTCCAGTAAAAAATATCAAGTTATTTTGCAATGCTGAATGGTGGTTTGCTGGCTGAAACTTCAGGTGGAATTCATAATGGAAGCTGATGTCTGAGATCCGTGAATAAGCCAGGAATGAAGTGTATCCAAAGGCATCTGTGCCACTGAACCTGGGCTGAGTAATATTAATAGCTGTGGAAAAACCCAAACAAAACAGTTAAAATAAACCTGTACATGTACTTGTAAAAGGAGGGTTACGTTTTGCTGATGCATCTGGCCAGATACTCTGTTTACTATTACATTAATTACACTTTAGTGCCCTTCGGCGTTGAGCAACTAAGTGACTCAACAGAGAATTTCAAAACCAGAACAAAGGAAGTGCCGTGTTTTGAGATCTTATATATAACCCTTTCAGTAGCATACTCTTTCTGCATAATGGGTAATGTACTTATAAAGCAAACCCCCATATTTTGAAGCTTAATTTTGGAAATAGAAAAGATTACTGGCAGCCAAAGTTTTTGCTCATGTGCCTCGTAAACATGATTAAGCATCCAAAACCTGGATATGACTTAGAGAGGAACTCACAGCTTTGAACAAACTTTGCTTTTCTAATCCTGCACCTTTATATGAAACAAAGCCCCAGGTCAGGAATAGGAAAGTCGAGAAATAGGAAGGAATTTGGTTAGTTTTCCACTATTGCTGAGTCAACAGAACTCTTCTTTAGATAAAAATAATTGTTTAAAAGCAATGTTCATTCTTTCTTCGCTGGGATGTTTGTTAAGTAATGGGAGCATGAAATTCAATAGGTATGAAAGTATAGGGAGATTTATTAAAAACAGGAAATGGTAAAACCAAAGTTCATGGGCCGGTGTGAACAAAATGGAATTTAATGGAGGGGTGACTTTAACTGTCTATTCCCTCTTTTCATCCTACCTTTCATCTTCTTGTATCTAACACTTTTTTCATTGTATTGTCCTCCATAAGTCCCAGTTGGCTTTTTACATTTCCTTACCCCAAGAGGACAACAGAAAATAAAAAAGGGGCTTTTGACGCCCCATCCCTGTCTCTTATGGATGATACCACTACATTAGGGGATGTTCCTAAAATCTATTCTTATAGGTTGGGGACAGCTCGGTTGAGAAAATAAGAGCTTATGTTGTTTTCTTCTCAAGAGATGTTGAAACTGTGAGGTAGCTATAAAACTAGAATTTTTACAAGCCTTATGAAATATCCTCTTCACTCTGGTACCTAATGCTTAAAAGAGCTCATTAAGTCTCATTATAATTATTTATACGGCAAATAATTGTGCTATCCTGGGAAAAATGATTCTCATTATCAGACTTATGTATCTTTGCTTTATATGACTATGAAATTAAGATATTTGTGTAAATAACCTGAATACTTTGTTTTGATATTATATTAAAATCTTATCAGTTTATTCCCTGGCATGTGTGGCATAAGTGTAATTTTCTTAAAACTCACCAGAATGTGAAGTAGGGACTTTGAGACATATTGCTTCTTATATTTCTTTTTTAGTCTAATGAAAATTTTATGATTTGTGTCCCCAAGATAATAACACTCTTCTCATCAGGTTTATCACTTTCAGTAGTACTATGGGGAGGGTGATTCAGGGAAATGAAATGTACTGGAATTAAAACAGAATAAAAATACCATTATTCAATGTTGGCATTAGAAGCTATGAAAATAGAATTCAGTTAAATTTAATACTAAAATAGAAAAGGAATGACTATCTTTTGCTTTTAATATTTCTTCCTGTTAATAATTTACAACTGAGTCTACCTAAAGGTTTCATTACATTAAGGTTAGATTGACAAATACATATCTGATATATATAGTATTTTACTGTCAGACTCTGTGCTAGATACTGGTGACACAAAGATTAAAAAGCACTAGTCCCTCAAGGAATTAGTGTGAAGTCAGCGTATTTATGCAGCTGGACTGAAAGTTGAGGCCTGGTCTAAGAACTTTCAAGCAGAAGAAATAGCGTGTTCTAGGGTGTAAAGACCAACACAGCGTGTCACACTCAGGGAAATAATGAAGTTTGCAAATTTTAGAATGAAGAATAAAAGTGAGAGTGGAAAAAAATGAAACAAGATAGTAAGTGGTCAAATCATGAATAACTTTATATTTTCTTTATTATCCTAAAGTAGTTGAGCAATGATCAAAGTTGCTTTTTAGAAATACTACTCTGTTGATGACGTGTGAATCATAGATTAGACAGAGAGCTGGAGGGCCTAACTTTGGTTAGGATGAAAGTGAGAACTTCGATGATATCAAGAAATCTGACAATGAATTAAGCTTATGCAGAAGTCTAAATGTAAGGCAGTTTATGGATAACTCATTAAAGAAGGTAATGGTGTGATATTTAAACAGTTAATAGAAGTACATTATCAGTACAACCAATTAATTTCATGATACAATTTTATACTATCAAAAAGAAGCACTTTTGAAGTTTGAGAATAATAATGAAGGCTGATGATAACCATGACCCATAGGAATGGATCTGTCACATGCTCAGCATTTCTTCCTCTAGAGGGACCCTGTTCAATAACACAGCTGCTCGTTACCTGTACTTGTTTAGCATTTGAATTGTGGCTAGGCCTGTGTGGGAAGGGCGTAGTATGAAAGAAAGAATGTAAAATATATTATTAAGAAATTTCCATATCCATTAAACATTGGGTTAAATTAAATGTTTTACTAAAATAAATTTCACCTGTTTCCTTTTCATTAAAAAAAATTGCAACTAGAAAAATTACGCAGGCAGCTCACATTTTATTTCTATTAAATGGCAACACACAGAGATCCAAGTATGTTTTGATAGGTAAGTTCTTTCTCTAAACCATTAGTTGTGACTTACTTCAAGGTGCTTTTGCTTTTGGTAACTTTGAACCTATAAAAAGATAGGGCATTTATGGGGAGAAATAGGAATCAGGAGAAGGGGTCAAAGATAATATAATCTATCACTAAGAGGCTTCTGTGTCTTCACCTACGCTGTCTCTATCACTCTTGATTAGGCATGAGAACATGAGGGACTCAGATTAGGAGAAAGAAGACTTTCAACCTTACAAATAATTCTTTCCAATACTTTAAGCCCTTTGCCATCTCCAAACGGGTAACATTTGGTTAATTTGGTTACTCTACTGCACAAATGCGGAGATCAGCCTTCTGGGAGGATCAGTCAACATCTAATCGGGAAGTTTAACTGATTGTAATGGGAATATTTTTGGACTATTAAATGCATTTTTTTTTCTTTTGTAATCCCTAGTTGCCTCACAGATACCATCTGTAAAGTCATGCATTTTTGTCAGTTCTTTTAAAGTTACATCAATGAATTGGGCACATGAGAAAAAAAGGGGGATGCTGGAATTGAAACTAAAATAAATTGTTCAGTTTGTGGAATAAGAAAGCAAAATCACTAATAATGGCCTGGAACAATTTCAGGCACAGTCAAAAGCTATCCAGACATCATCTAGGGCCATTAAAAATTCCAAGAACCTTGAGTAAAGAGAGAATATTGTGATATTTTCTATTATATTATAGTGCTATGTTATAGGCTCAAAGTATAATCTTTTAAGAATGTGTTATATTATCTTTACAAAACACATTTTAGCAAATGTTACCACAAAAAGGGTATAAAATTTTATTTTCTAATCGTTTACTAAAGCAAATTTTTTTCATTCCCAATATGGCAGAGAAAAAGGCATTATTGTTTTTAATGTTACTATTTTTTTCTCTTAAAAATATTCTACCGTTAGTCTTCCTTTTAATGTGAATTATTAAAGTTTTATGCACATAAGAGGCTAAGATGAGCTATTGGAATGTGGGAAGAAGACATATAAACAGCTCAGATCTCAGAACATCTTCCCTCAACTCTGCGGTGATGCATCCTGAAGCTTGCCGGCTGTTACACATGTGCTACCCTATGGCGTAGTGACGGTAGGAGACAGCTGGGGCAGGCCGGCTCAGGCCCGATTCTGGATATTCTCATGTTCTGTGTAAACTTGGGCAAGTTATTTCACTGTTCTGTTTTAGTTTCTTCATTCATAAAATGAGAATGAGAAAAGCCCATGACCAAAAGCAACGACTTGAGCTAGCCATACAATTCAAGTGGGCAAACCTCTTGCACCAGACCTGCAATCCTACTACTTATTTCCAGACAAATCACTTTCCCAGTCTCTAAAATGGCTATTTAATGCTTCCTCTCTCCTCAAACATCTAATATTCATTATCTCTCATCAATTAATGATCTTTTTATTTTGCAGGGAAAAATAAACCCATCAACAGAGAACTACCCAATGCTTTCACGGTCAAATTCTCCCACCCTCAAATCTTTCATTTTTATCTATATGCTTTGCCCTCCCTCTGCTAAGGCTGACTCTGCCTGAATATTCCATCCACCCCTTCTCATTTGCTCAAGGGCATCACTCCAGAAATTCTGGCCTGCTTCCCAGGAGTTACCAAATTATTCTTCTGTACTGGAGCATTTCCTTTAACATGAAATATGCTAGAAGGTTCCCATTATAAGTAAAAAGCTTCCCTTCACTCCAAATTCCCCTCTAGCTACTGCATGTTTCTCTGCTCACCATTCTAGCATGGGGCTTCTGAAGAGTTGTCTGTTTCACAATTTTATTACCCATTCGTGCTTGATTTTATTTCAGTCAGGGCTACCTTCTCTATCTTTTCTTTGAACTTTTGTTTGTTAAGATCACTGGTAACCACAATCTTTCTAAACTCAAATGTCAATTCTCTGTTTTTATCTTATTCAGTGTCTCAGAAGCAACTGACATGGTTGATGATTTCTTTTCTCTTAAAATGCTTTCTTTACTTGGTCTCCATGACCACTGCACTCTCCTGGTGTTTATCCTACCTTAATGACTGCTGCTCCTCATTCTCCTTTTCTTCCAGTTATCTCCATCTACCATCATTCTATATTTGATCATGAGTAGCACTTACATGCGGATGACTCCTGAGTACACAGAGTCACTATCCCTGGCTTTTTTCCAGAGCTCCAGATTCATATATACAGCCAACTACTAGATAATGGACATATATTTGTATGTCTATTAAGAATTTCAAACTGATCGTACACAAAGCAAAACTCTTTATTCCATTATTTGTTATCTTCCCCCCAATCCAATCCCTTCTCTTCCTTTGCAATCAAATCTGTTTCC